GGAAGAGGATAAATAATTATTCTTATGGTCCAGACCTGCTCAGAAATTAATTCTCACAAGTGTTTTTTTTGGGGGGGAGGAGGGGCTGGGTTGTCCGGGTTTTTTGTCCGGTTACCTTCTGATCATGATAACGTGAGTAAAGAATGCACAGATTCGTCGATCAACCAGCCGGGAAAACTGTCAGCTGTATTAAAAGACCGCTGTGCAGCTGGATTTGAAAAATTCGCTGTCCGAAAGATAAAGATTTTTCTCTTACAAAAACGATTGAGCTGATGCTTAAGAAGACATTACTAAGCGCAAAGCATAGAGGCAGAACTGATTGCTACGAAGAAAATTTCCTGCTGCCACCACAATGAAAATGAGCGCCTGATGGAGATTTAAGAAGCCATTTCAAACAAGTGAAATATTTGTCGGCTTAGAAAGCTCAGCTATTTTGGCTTACTAGCTATAAATCAATATGGAAAGGGAAAAAGGAGAATTTGATTTTTTTGTCCATGGTTGACAAAAACATTTTTAAATGGCTGTCAACGGATCACTTTCAAATAAAACAAATAATTGCCAAATGCGTATAAATAATATATTATATTTGGTTGGTTGTTTCTGTCTCACATATATAGCTTATTACCGTATTTTTATTTTTAGGATTAAGAAAAAATACAGCCACCGTCAAATCAATGGACGACTTGTCAACGAAACCGAATGTTGCCGGTAAAAAGCAACTCCGACATTCTATGGTTTACAATGGCCATGGTATGAACCACCAGCTTTGGTTTTGATTGGCTTTTGTTTCGTTTGGCGGTGATTTACGCGTTGTCTAAAAACCCTAGTTTTTTAGTTAGAAGAAAGTTTTTTTAAATAGTGACGTCGTTGTTATGCAAATGCGATTCAGGTGATTTTTAAAAGTTGTTTATTTGTTAAGATTTCGGTTCTTTGCTTTGTTCTGACGACTGCTACAGCTTTTAGCGTTAACGTGGCTTTGGAGTTGAAATTACGTATTTGATTTTATGTATTTGCTTTTGTGGTAAATCAGCTAGGTGGAATTGTGCTTGTTAATTTGTTTTACCAGTGGATGTACGCCGTATTTGAGCCTTATGAAAAATTCCTATTCATGAAACATCGTTAGTGATCACCAGGGCGTTGGTGGTCAAGCCTTTGACCAGGGTTCCGAACCCGGTAGATCATCGCACTTGCTGTCGAAAGATAGTCGGTTGGATCCTGATCAATTAATCGCCTTTCACTTTGCTGAGGTGCACAAATGTACACCCCTTCCTGGCAGGGAAACAGGATTTTAAACGTTGTAGTTGTCACTTGCCTGCCTGTAGGCGCAGCTAAGAATTTCTGGTTGATGACTGCACCAAAAATTAACTCTGCTCCTTGAGGCTCATCAGAGAATGGTGCCACAAATCTTTTGAATATTGAGTGTAGCTTGTGTTGTTGGCAAGCTAAAGGCATAATCGGTTCAATTCAGCAATAGGCCTTTGAAAATTTCTCGCTTTCTACACAACCCTTCGCGACTTTTCCAGTTTTTCTCGAAAGGCTGTGCTAATTAGGTAGCGGTCGCTTTAATCGAAGTTTAAAGATTTAATAGATTTCTTAGCCTCTCTCTAATCCGACGGTCAAGTATAGTCTAAGGGAAAGGATATTGGAGTAGTATTGCCTTGGTCAATAAAATGATGCATATGCTTAGATAGGCTGCAGATGCTGAAATGCCAATAATCGTCGCAAATTTTTCTCTACACATCTATAATCAGTGGAGAGGGATGGCATTACGTGGCACGTTTAAGAATAATTATGCGTAATTTGCAGTTTTCTGATGCTTTAGATCGAATATATGGCACAGCGTTTCGATCAAATATCTCAAGTAGTAAAGTAACAGAAGAAAATAATGCATTGTAATATATATTGATTAAAATATGCAAGTAATTAAAATATACGTTAGTTGTTAGTTAGAATAAGTTTTTATTCCATTGTTCGTTTCACACTGGTTAGTATCGATTACTTGTGTTATTCACCGTTTCTGGGACTATTTGTGCTAGTCATTCATGATTGGCTGTTTTAGTTATATTTTCTACTGTTTATTATGTATATTCATAATGGATTTTGTGTATGTTTTACTTGTATTATTTGCTGTTTGCACTAGCTGTGGTTGTTAATTACACAGAGTTCTAAGTACTACATAGAATTGCAAATTTATTTGTGCTTATTAGGCAATCTTCAATGGAAAGGTGAAAATTTCCAGAGAAACAAGTTGAAGCAACGCTCACTGACGTGCTGCGTCACGCGAAGCTACTTCCCCAAAAAGCAAGACAGAGCACCGCTGCCACCACCGCCGTCAATTATTCCCGGAGGTGATAAGCAGCACGGCTGCAAACGACAGCACTCTTTCGTCAAGGACATGTCGAAGAAGAAGGAGTTTTCGGACGAAGATGCCAAAGAGGCGAAGTCTCTGTTTTCTGCGCTGGAGATGGACACAGACGAAGACGTTACAGCATGGATGGAAGGTAGGCCGATGCGATTTTTTACTACGATGACTAGTTGAATACAATGGCATATTCTGTTTAAGCAGGAGGTGATGATACAGTGAGGTTCAAAAAAATATGAAACTTAGTTCCATAAGTGGGATGGGATTTCAGAATGGTTTGAATTCGTTCAAAAATTGACGTTTATCTGGCATTTCATTAGGCTAACGATGAACCGACAGCGAGTGATATAATATTCTGTTTTAAAGTAACTAAATCTTTTAAAAATGGCGGTTTTACATCGAAGTCTTCTCCAAAGCTGCATTTTACACTGTGTTGCATATACCCTTTGTTCCTGGATGCCGAAGGAGCATTTGAGCAGTTCACGGTTCCAGTCTTGGCTAAACACAGTTGGTTATATATCCATTTCATG